CCTGGGTGCCTATAATCTAGAGATCTCCTCCTCTCCTAGTGCTTCCCAGGTCGGCTTTATTTCTGGCTGTGTTTCTTTGCATGCAGACTGCTCGTGCACAGGATGGGTTTGCGTGCCTGCAGCCCCCCGTGGGGCTTGTTGGAGGGGTTGTGATGTGGGCCTGCCCCAAGGGATGCGATGGGAGTGATGGATCAGGATGTGCCCCCATGTTTTGGAGTACTGCCACAGCACAGGGGGGAGAACGGCCTTGCTTTGAGGGGCACCACCTGTAGCCCCTCTGCATGATCCATCCCAAAAGAGTCACAGCATGGAGGGGGCTGGAAGGGGCTGCCCATGCAGGTGAGAAGGCCAAGGAGAGGCTAACATGAGAGGTGGTTAGCAGCAGTCAGCAGCTACTAATTATCCCACGCTCCAGCTCGTTCTCAGGAGAGCTGCAGAACTCTTTGATCTGCCTGTGTTTTGCTTTCTAATTGGATTGGGGTTCCGGATGCTGCTGGCTGAGGGGTTCTGGGGAGCTGATGGAAAGGGAGACGTGTGTCGGTCCTTAGACAGCAGCAGGGGAATGTTCTCTGTGCAGCTGGAGGGGTGCTTGGGTCACCATTCTCCTGCTTGTCTCCATGCAGCTATCAATAGGGCTCTTTTATATGGTCTCCTAAATACCCTTTTTCCTTCCCCTGCGTGCCCCTGAGGTTTCATCCCTTTCTCACTCAAGTTTCATGGAGCACAGAACTGAGTGCTGCCTTCCTCCTGCTCAACAATTGCGTTAAGCTTGCATCTCATTGCTGTCCCACTCTTCCAGTCAGTAGGTTTGCTGATTTAGTGGCCTTTTTCAGTCCTTACTGCAGTAGTGAGCCTGAGTAGAACTCCAAGAGCATCAGCAGGGACTGAGAAAGGTCTGTGCTCGAGAAAGAGTTGCAGAAGCACCGGTACAGTTAAAGTGCTGTGGATACAACAGCACGATCTCTATTATTAATCCAAATAGAACGCCTTTCTTCGGTTGAGTAATAAGATCAGAAAAATACCTCTACTCAGAACAGCTTCCAAGGTGGGAATGATGCCTGTGGCAAATATCTGGCGTAAGAACCGACCCCAAGGCCAGTTTCCAGTAAGCACCGTGCCAGCTGTCAGCTTAACCATTGACAGTCCCTCAGAGGTGGCAGCTGTGCATCCTGGTGTTCTTGGGGCTGGGGAGGACACTGTTGCAACAGAAGCAACTGCCGGCTGAAGCTCTTTGTGTGAGTGGTAGAGAAGGATGGGTTGGGGAGGGCTGTTTGCTTCCACCAGCAAATGGGAAACTTCTGTTGTTTTCTGAGAGCAGTAACATGGTGGTGGTGGTTGTGATGAAAACACCAACTAGATTGGAGCAATGAGCATTCTTGTAGTCAGACACAGCAGAGTCCCTGGTGAGCTGTGCTGGGTCTGCTTTCTTGGGTGTTAGCAGGAGACAGGGAGAGCCTTGCACTCGTTAGCATATAGATGTGCATCCTCATTGGAGTTTTGCTGTAGCTGTAATTAGCCCAGACCACTGGGACAGGCTCCCTGAAAGGCTGGAAGGAAGGAGTGAGCGGTTGGGTGGGAATAGGCTTGAGCATCTCCTGGATATTTACAATGGATTAGGCTTTTTATTTTAGGGTCAGCGCAGCCTTAACCTGTGTGCAGTGCTTTATGGCTAATGGCAGCACTGCTTCTGGGTGCAAAGCACATGTGAGGAATGCCTGCATGCCTGATGGACTTAAAAGGGGAAAGGGGAACTTGAAAAGATCTCTTCCCTCCACTGCTCGCCCTCATTGGTCCCAGCTTCCTCCTACCTCTTTCCAGTGAGAAATAAAACGTGTGATAGAACCCATCTTTCTGCCCCTCCAGCTGTTGGCACATCTGTTAGGAGGACGTGATGCAGGTTACCATATGGCTGCAACTGAAAATCTGGCTGCTCCCATAGAGCCAAGCTAATATTTCAGCAGGCTGTCTCTCCCCAGCCAGCACACAGAGACCCTCAGGTTGAATACTGGAGCTCTTCTTGTCTTCTCAGGGCACAAAGCAGAGCAGATGTAACCCTCGTGCTGCACCATGCAGCAGTGCATTGGTGCTTGGTGGCTGTCCCCACCTCTGGAGATGGCTTATGAGCAGAGAGCCCAAATCTGGAGCTGCTTCGTGGATCGCTGCAGTCACACAGCAAAGCAAAATAGGCAGAAATAGAAGCAGGAATGCCTGAGCCCACATGCAGCAAAGTTGGAGCTTGGAAGTGTGACAAACAAATAAAGCTCAGTGCTAACTAGCTGCAGCTTCCCTCGGCCACGGGCATTTGCTATGAAGCAAAGCAAGGGAAAGAGCAGAGAGCTGCACTTCTTCCAGATCACTGTGAAGAGATTGAGAGGGTCTGGCCCTGTCCATAGGTGAGGTTCAGCATGGCTGCGACAGCAGATGTGCAGAAGCAGCAGCCCAGCTGTGTGCTCAACACCCATTTGTAGAAAGGAGGAGAATTAGGATAGCACAGCACCTGGCTGCAGAGGTGCACAGTGATTTAAAGGCTTTAGAGTGTATTAGCACTAATTAACGTGCTGGGAAGCTGGAAGCCAGCTTGGGCAGCACAGAACTTGAGCACCTCTTAAATTGGTCAGGGCAGGCTCTGCCTAGTCTTTAATTTGCCCTCTCCAGCATGCACTGAAGTAGTTAGAACTTGGTGACACCAGAGCCTTGTGACACTTTGCTCCTGGAGGATTAGCTAACAGTTCATCTGCCGAGTCTAAACAGTCGTGCTCTCTGTTTGTATACACATAGGAGTGAGGGGGCAGCCCACAGCTTATTCTTCTATAGATGCTGGAATGGTGCTCCATGGCCTCTTCATCCTGATGGTCACTCATTTGTTATTGGTGTAACCCAGCAGCAGACTGCAGGCCCACGGATGGTCCTCCAGAGCATCTCTTTGTTGCTGTGAGTGCAGGCAGGAAGCAAGGCAGAGGGTGATGTACAAGCATTGGGACACAGCCAGGCTTTGGATTAATGCATCATGAGCATTGTTTCACCATCTTTTGATAGAGTGAGTTTTTCCTAGCCATGGAGCAGATTAAAGTAGCACAGAAAAAAGGCTTTAAGATTAAAAAAAAAGAAGAATCTGATGGAAGCTTTCTTCTGCATTACAGCTTTGATATCTCACGTCTTTCACAACAGTTACAAATTAGTGATAAATAACATCTGAAGAGAGAGGAATAGTAGAGAGGGAAAGATGTGGTTTTAATTGCAATCTGGGCCAACAAAGAAGATGGTTAATACAGAGAGAAGCAGGGGGAAACTGTCCAGTGGCTGAAACTGCAAACTCGTTTTGCTGGTGATTTCTCTAAGTGCTCTTTTTATGCACCTAAATAACAAGTCACATTTAGAAAGCTCCCCCTCCTCTTCCAGGTAGTAATTTGTGAAACTGGTGGCAGAAGGAGGAGGGAAATCCTTATCTGTTAACATGGTGCTTGAAGCACAATCTCTCCTTGTAATGTGCTCTGCAGGACAGCTCTCTCTTTGCTGCTGTTGACACATTGAGAGAAACAAAAGGTCCCGAGTTTTGTTACAGGCTTGCGTGATGTGATCCAGAAGTGAGGGACCAAAGGATAGAAAATGATCACTATTTATTCCCTTTACTGCCACAGTGCTTCTCTGAGCAAATGAAGGATGATGTGTTCGCTTTGCTGGTGCCCTGGAAACACAGAAAGACACAGAAAGTCCTGGTGATTTCTGCCCCCACACCTTACAACACATCCCAGTGGTGTGTTTGCAAAGCAGACCTGGTTCTTTCTTAAACCACGCCTGCATGGATTTGCTTGCATCTGTCTGATGGTGAATGTGTTGATGCTCATCCTGGCAGCATCAGGATGCTGCAGATGGGTTCGGACACCCAGAGACAGCTCTGGTGCTTTATTGCAGCAGGAGGGGCTGGGAGGACTTGGTAGTGAGTTTCAGTGCCTGTAAGGGATGGATGGGATCAGCTGGAAGCTGCGCCTCCCGAATCCTTCCAAACATCACTGAGTTCTGCCAGGAAGCCTCGTGTGCATGCAGGAAGCAGCCTGGCCCACGCCATCCCCATCACAAAGCCCTCCTCTTCCAGTGCCCAATCTCCACCCATAGCATCAAGTGCTCGGGTTTGTTCAGGATCAAAGCACAGCCAGGTAGATGCTGCCTGTCAAAGACAAAGCATATTCTCTTCACTTAGGACCAGGTTCAGATTTGAGCCTGATTTCTTTGGGGAGAAAAAGAAACCGAGCTGACTTGCAGTGGGAAAAACCTCTGGGCAATCAGCTTTTCCTGTAAAGGGGAAGGTTTCTGCTCAGTGTGGCCTCAATGCCTGCATCTCCCAGTGCCTCTTCCAAGCATTGTTCTTGGTTCATTAGGTGATAATAGAAAGTGATTTTTCCCCTGTCACCTTGAGAAATCGGAGGCATTAAGAATGAGAGCCTAAGCCTGAAAGCCTAAATGAGAGGGTTTGATGGGTCTGTGTATCTGCCTCCTTCATTAGAACTGGAAGAGAGAGGATTGCTCCCAGAGCTTGCATTCCTTGAGGATAAGCAGGCGAGAGGAAGGAGTGTGGCCAGGCTGTGTCAGGAGATGAGGTTTGGGGCTTGTTTTCCATCCCCAGACCCACTGAACCTCAGAAGGCTGTTTGCCCCCACCTGTATGGGTTGGAAGCGGTGGCTCATCCCAGCATGGACCACCAGCAGGTGTGGTAGGAGCTGGGAGCAGAGGGGCCAGAAGGAGCACCATGAGATCCTATTGGAGAGCAGATAGGAGGGATGTGAGTGAGTCTTTTCCTCCCTGCCAGGCAGGCAGGGTTAACGTGGCACCTCCTCCTGCAAGGAGATGGGAAGCACAAGGGACACATTGGGACAAAGCTGGGCATTGTGGTGCCTGTTCTGGATGGGGTTGGGATACGCAGCTCTCTTCCTTCTGCCACCTTGTAGGACCTTGTGGGGCATCTCTTGTGCTGTATTTAAGGGATGCTTTCTTTTCACTTCCAGGTAGGATTCTTCGTGCACAGTTGCTCCCATGTAGCATCCAAAGGTAGGGAACTCCGTCTTGTTAACGTGCCGAATTTCCACCAACCACATCACTTCATTTTGGGCTGTGTTGTCCCCCTGGGGCTGTCCTCGATGGACCTAACAGCACACCCAACACAGCTCCGAACACAAAACACAGAACTGAAGTTGGAAGGGACCTTTAAAGGCCATCTGCTCCCACTCCACCAAACAGGGACACCCATCAATGCTCTGAGCACCGACCCCGGTGTGCCTGCAGGGATGGGGAGGCACTCCAATCCTTGCACCAATGCAAAAAGCACAAAAAGCTTTTTCCTTACGCTCAGCCTCCCCCCCCCCCCCCTTCCACCTCGCGAAACCATTTCCATTCCCTTCATCCCATCGCAGCAGGATGAATTAGAAAAAGAAAAAAAAAAAGAAAAGAGAAAAGGAGGCAGCTTGCCAGTGCTGTGCCAGGCGTATCGGGGCGGGCTGGCGGTGGGGATGGCCGTGCCGGAGCCGTGCTGGCTGCCCCCCGGCGCAGCCCCGCCGCCCGTCGTTCACCCCCTCGCCCCCCCGCCGTCGGCGCGCCGTTTGCCAGCGCCTCCGCTTGTTGAAATGGGCCAAGTTCGAGGAGCGGCGGCGGTGGCGGCGGAGGAGCGGCTTTGCTCCGAGAGCCCGAACTGCGTGCAGCGGGAGCCGCGTGGAGGGGAGCCCGGCTGTGCCCGGCGGGGGGCGGCGCTCGGGGCTGCGGGCGATCCCCGGAGCTCCGGAGGACCGCGTGTGGGCATCTCCCATCAAAGCCCCGTCAAAGCGGGAGCGGCCGTCAAACCTCCCCCCCGCCCCCCCCCCACCTCACCCGCCCCCCAACGGCGGCGGTCGGGGCAGGTGGAGCTGCGGGAAAGTTCGCCGCCGGTGCGCGGAGCCCCGCGGGCAGAGCCGGGTTGGGAAGGGGGGGGGAGGGGGGGCGGTGCGGAGGAGCGCAGCGTTTAATTTTAATTATGGCATATAAATAAATAAACCAGGTGTCAGTTGAAAGGAAAAGAGCGGGGAGGGGGGGGGGGGGGGCGGAAGGGGGCTGGCTGGGCGGCGGGGAGCCCTGCAGCCTGGCGAGAAGGTGGGTCGATCTGGGGGAATCAATAAGCGTGGGTCTTTTTTTTTTCTTCTTTTTTTTTTTTTTTCTTTTTTTTTTCCCCCCCCTTTTTCTGTGTGTGTGCGCGTGTGTGTGTGTTGTGTGTTCTTTTTTTTCTTTTTTTTTTTTTTTTTTTGCAACCAAAATAATGTCTCCGGCGGCACAGACCTCTCCGAGATGTCAGGTTGCAGTCCGGAGGGGAAGCTCTGCGCACCGCACGGCAGCTCCCGGGGCTGCACCGCTCCATTAAGCGCTCCGTGGGAGCCGCGCTGGGGAGCCGGGCCGGGGGGGCTGCCCGTGGGCTGCTCCGGGGGAGCCCCGCCACCCCCGGCACCCGGGCGCCAAAGGTGCTCGTGTTGCTGCTGCTGTTGCTGCTGCTGCTGGCGCGTTCCATCCCAACTCCAGCCAGAGCCGGGGCAAGTTGAGCCGGAGACGTTTGAGCCGCCGCTGCGCTTTGGAGAGACGGGGGAGCGCGGCGGCACCATGCCTGCCATCAAGAAGGAGCGACTTGACAGGGAAGAGCTGGCCTTGGCGGCCTTCAACCAACCCATGGAGACCCTCCCCGACTACCTCGCCCCGCTGGCCGCCGCTGCCATGCCGGTGGTGGCCCCGCACCCGCCGGCGTACGAGCAGATCTTCGCCCACCGCGCGTACCTGGGCTTCCACGAGAGCCCCCACCCCCCGCACCCCCCCCACCTCCCCGAGGACCTGATGCTGGAGAGGTTCTCCTCCATCCCGGATTTCCAGCCCTTCTTTGACAACGGAGAGCCTTGCATCGAGGTGGAGTGCGGGGAGAACAAGGCGCTGCTCTACATCAATAAGTTGTGCCAGGGGAGCAAAGGACCCTCCATCCGCTACCGGGGCGAGTGGCTCACCCCCAACGAGTTCCAGTTTGTCAGCGGCAGGGAGACGGCCAAGGATTGGAAGCGCAGCATCAGGCACAAAGGTGAGGAGCCGTGCGGGGCCGTGCGGGGCGGGGGGGTCCGCGGGATGCTCAGAACCCGAGCGGTGCCTCCGTGCCCCCCGCCCGCCCCCCCCCCCGGGTACCCCGAAGTTTTTTTGGGTTTTTTTGTTTTTTCCCCAGCCGGTTTGCGGGGGGAGGAAGGAGAAGAGGAGGAGGGGAGGTGTGCGCGCGTGTGTGCGTGTGCGTGTGTGTGTGTGTGTGCGGGGGGGGGGGGCTGGGGGGGGAGGCGTCTCCTCCTCTCTTCGGGAGAGAAGTTGGGCTCCGTGCGGGCAGAGCGCGGCGGATTGCGGGGCGCGGCGGGGGCACCGCGGGGAGCGGAGGGTGAGGACGGAGCGGCGGCGGCTGGGGGGGATTGGGGGGGGGTGGTGGGAGGTGTTCCCGACGGCGGAGCGCTGCGGGACCTCCCGCACACGGAGCTGCGCTTTGCTCCCCCCCAACCCCCCCCCCCCAGCCTTCCTCTTTGCGGGGCCGGTGCGGGCGGCAGGTGGAGGCGGGGGGAGCCCAGCGGCCACGGAGCGGGGGAGAGGGAAGGAAGGGGGGGTGATGGAAGGCGGGGGGGGTGGGGGGGGGGGCGGCGTGACATGTAATTAGCGAGAGCCGGAGGTGGCAGCCCGGGGGGCTGCGGAGCTATTAGGAGGTGGCTGACACCTCGGCGTGTTTATTGATCGCTGGAGGAAAGGGGAATAACTTCAGGGGCCGCTCATAATGATCGTTATTGCACTCCTTTTAAAAAAAAAAAGGAAAAAAAGCGCTGAGCTGCTGCCTGTGGGAGAGCGCAGATCCTACGGGGTGAGGAGGGAGGATGAAGGCAGCCGGGGGGGCAAACCGCGGGGATCCGGGCTGCGGGAGCGACTCTGCATAGGGCTGAAGGGGGGGGGGGGGGAGAGGGGGCAGGATTGGGGCAGGGATGGGAGGGCTGAATGCGGAGCACTTTCCTTCTGCTGAGGTGCTTAACCTTTTTTCGTTTCTTTTTTTTTTTTCCCTTTCTTTTTTCTCCTTCTCTGCACCCAGGGAAAAGTTTGAAGACTCTTATGTCCAAAGGAATCTTACAGGTACATCCTCCAATCTGTGATTGCCCTGGGTGTCGAATTTCGTCTCCAGTGGTAAGACGATTGTTCAACTATGTGCTTTAGTTAAGACATCTCCCCTCTCCTCCGCCTCCCACCCTCCCATCCCAACCTTCTCTGCCTCTTGTGATCGCGGTTCTGGTCCCACGGCCGGCAGGTGGGGGAGCCGGGCTGAAGGATGCACTGCAGCTGTGCTCCGTGGGCACAGCACTGAGCAGCTCCTTCCTTCTTCTCTCTTAGAGGTGCAGAACGGCTGAATGAAGCGTTATGGCCGCACCCATGTGTTGGAGGCAGCCGGGCTTTGGGAGCTGTTAATGATTTTTTAAGCTGAGCGGGGAACAAACTCATCTTAAGCACTCAGTGCTTCTACAGCGTTCATTTCATAGGTGGCAATCAGTGTATTTGTAGATCTTCGCCCAGGTTTGGGTTCCTTGGGTTTTCTGATTCTCTGTTGCCCACATTTTCCCCAGGAAAGATGTTGGAGCGATCAATGGACTCAAGTAGGGCATGAAAGGCGTTTTGTCACATCCAGAAATAACCATAAGACCAGAAATAACCATAACATCAGAGCTAGACTGCAGAGCCATGTTCAAATGGGTCCTGGGCTGGAGAGTGACTCAGAGCACTGCTGCCAGTGGAGACCCTTCTTTTAATCCACTGCAATTAGCTGCTGTTTCATCTGTTGTTTCTGTGAGATCTGATGGACATCCTTCATTCACATGGAGCATCTTCATGGTGCTGAATGATGGAACCACTGTAAATCATTTCTGTATACTGTCGACGTGCATCCATATTGCTATATATAGAGATGCACACATGGATGTGGGAAGGGGCTTAGAGCAACAATCCAGCATTCCATCAGCTCACACAAGGACCCGGCCACAGCAGCACTGCCTGCTCCCATGGCCAGCCCAGCGGCTCTGGGGTTCATGCAGGATTTGTGCCGTTGCTGTGAGCTTGTGGGGCAGGGTGTGATGCTGTGTGCGGACGGAGCTCACTGCAGCGTGGAGTCGGCTGTGTGACAGCTTGCTGGGCGTCTTCGGGCCGAAATGCCACCTCGTGCGTTCCCAGCGGGAGCGCTGTCGATAGCCATGCGGGGATGCCGCGCGCGCACGGGGGGGAGGCAGCTGCCCGTGGAACAAAGGCTGTATTAAAAGCGGCTCTAAAATAGAACTGAATCTGAGAAGTTCAGACAGAGGAAAAGAGGGGCCGCGTTGTTTTGGGAAAGCAGAAACGGATCCTTCTGCGCTCGCCTCCTTTCGCTCCCCGCCGGCGCTTTGCGGGAGGGGGGCGGTGGGGAGGAACCCCCTGGAGAGCCGCCTTCCGATCCGCGTTTCCCGGTGCGCGCCGCGTCTCCCGGTGACCGACGGCCGTCCGCGCTTCGGACGTGCGGGCAGCCGAGCCGGCCCGGCCGTTCCTCCCCGCCGCATCGCGTTTCCGCCGCCGCCCCGGAGCACCGCGGGGCTTTCCGCCGCCGTCCCCCTCCGTTGGGCCCCCGGCCGAGCTCTGCCCCCGCTCCCCGCCGCGGCCCCGAGCCCGGCCCCGCCGCCCGCAGCCCGGCCTGGCGCCGCGCTGCCCCCGCCCTCCGCCCCCCCGGGGCCTCGGGGCCGGCAGTGCCGGGGGCTCCCCCGCCGCGGCCGGGGAAAGCGGCGCCCGGCCCCCGCCGCGCCCGGCCCCGCCGCCCCGCCGCCCCGTCGCAGCTCGTTTGCTGCAGCTGCAGACGGCGGCCGGCGCCGGGGCTCCGCCACCGACCGCCGGTTTCCTGCGAGGCGGAGGGGGAGCAGCCGCGGCGCGTCGGCTTCGCTGGCGCCTCCGAGCCCCGGGCAGCGACCGCCCCCGCGCCGGCGTCCGTCGATCCGTGTGTCCGTCCTTCAATCCCCCATTGCTTCAGTCTGTTCATCCGTTCCTCCCGCCCTCCATCTGTCCATCCGTTCATGCGTGCATTCTTCTATCTGTCCTTCCATCCATTCGTCTTATCTGGCTCTCCATCTTTCCACACATTCTTCCATTCCTCTATCCCTCCATTCCTCCCTCCCTCCATCCATCCATGTGTCCATCCTTCTACCTGTCCATCCCTCCCATCCTCTGTCTATCCCTCCATGCATCCGTTCTTCCACCCATTCCTCCCTCCTTCCACCGATCCGTCCATCCATCCATGCATCTATCCATGCATCCGTTCTTCCATCCCTCCCTCCATCCCTCTTTCCATCCCTCCGTCCATTCCTCCATCCCTCCATTCATCCCTCCGTCCATCCAGCCATCCATCCATGTATCCACTCCCTCCCTCCCTCTGTTTGTCCATCTGTCCATCCGACCGATTTTCCCATTCTCCTTTCTCTTCCCCCCAAGCCTTACGCCGAAGGTTTTCCAGATCTGGGTGGAGAAGCCATACTCTCAGTCCGTACATTTTTTAGGGGCAAGCAGCTGTGAGCTGTGAGCAGGGGTCTCCTCCATGCCTACATGTGTCAGCTGCAGGCTGGCACAGTTCACCTTGTTCACCCTCTTGCGTACAGCCTTGGGTGGGTTCTAACCCACATTTGCTGGTGATGTTCCCCGTGTTGGAGCAGGACCCTCACAGTGTGCTTCACGTGAGTTGTGCTGCCTCTGGGTGTGAGCTAGGACCACCATTGGCTTCTCCTCATCCTCCTCCTCACGGGAGGGTTCCTTGGGGGATGCCCATGCTGCGGTCTGGGGCTCAGCTCACAGGTGAGGAAGGAAGCTTGTAGAAAGCTGTCAGGCACGGCTGCGTTCAAGCAAAACAAAAAGCACATTTTTTTTTTCCTCCGTCTCCTTCGTTGCGTGTCAGGACACATGGTAATTGTGCAGAACTTGGCCAGTGACTGCGCTCGTTTGTTCGGTTACTGGGGTGGCATTTTGCTGGTGAGTTGATTTATGTGTGATCCTTGCTGTTGGCTCCTTTTCGCTTTGTTGGTGCTGTTTTCTACTGCTGCCTCCCGGAGTGAAGGCGTTGGTCCACAGCTCTGCCTGAGGGGCCCAACGCTGAGCTGAGCGGGGCCGCAGAGAGGGGCAGTGAGACCCTCATCCTGAATCCAGGACCTCAGAGCCACCAGTCCTGCAGGACTGCCCTGTGCAGAGAGCACTTTGCCCACTGCTGCGCAGCAAAGCTGGCTGCTGCAGACACAGGGTTCAGTCTGTTCAGCAGGATGGGATGTGGGTGCCTTTCCGAGCTCCTCCAGCCTCAGGGATTGGAGCTGGAGAGCTGTGGGGTCTGTGCTCACAGCTCTGCCTTCTCTGGGGGCCGCCTTATGGATGTGCAGAAAGCCTTCCTGTAAAGCAAGCTTGTAAAAGTTCTCATCCCCACGAGCTCTTTGTGGATTTATCATTATTTTTGTTAGTTTCATGCAGATTGGGATTGTTGCTGTTAATCCAGCTGTGTTTATTGGGGGCTGGCTTTTGTTTTCAGGTAGGCTCTGCTCAGGTGTGTTGGGCTGCACACCTCCGAGTGAAGTTGGACATCTTAATAAAAGCCTGTCCCAAACCTGAGTGCTGGCACTGGGGCAGGAGGCACTGCGGGAGGCATTCTGCCCACCCAGCAAGGCATTGTTGTGCACTGGGTTCCATTTGGTGGGTTATTAAACAGCCTCTGGAAAGGGAAATATTGATTGGATCGCAGCGAGTGAGCAGCAGAGATGCAGGAGTAGCTTGGGACAATAATGCTGTCTTGCTGTGGAGCTCCAGGTTATAGGATTGCTAACCCACCTGCTGCTGCAGGAGTGTCAGTGTTGTGCTGAGCTGCTTCCCTGTGCTCAACGAGTCCATCAGCCTGTGGAGAGGGAAATTGATGCAAGGTAGCTAAATAAATATATAAAAGCAGCAAAAGCAGCATCGTCTTGTTAGCAGCGTGTCAAGGGCAGTGTAAAGGTGAGATAGGATAAGTAATTTTGCTGTCAAAATTATTTAGAGATGTCATTAAACTGCTTAGGGCTGTCTCTGCTGCTTCAGGGCACAGACACCTGGTTTTAATTTGCAGTGGTCTGCATCCAAACCTGCTGGACTCATTCAGAGGGATCAGTGCTAATTTGGAGCCTGGTGGCAAATGCCTTCAGTGAACACGGGATCCAAATGGCAGAGGTGAGCAGAGGAGCAGAATTAACTCCCTCATAAACTCTCTTGGTTTTCCTTTCTGGAGGTTTGCAACTGCCAAGTAGCTCACGTTGATGGAGCTGATGAACTTCTCAGGTCACTGGAGAGCATCAGAGAGGTCACTTCTGCCTCAGACATTGGGAAAGAGCTCTGTGGCAACTTGTGATGGAGCAGTGCTTGGTCAAGATTTCATGCTCGTAAAACCACTTTTTCCCCCTTTTCTCTCTCCCTATTCCTTCTGGATTGCCTTGCTCTGGTTCCCTCTTGCACTGGCCCTTTATCTGGAGGGCTTCTTGCTGTGCAGCAGATGCTGTGCCCTGTGCCATCTCTGCCCTCCCTCAGATCAACATACATCATCTCCAGAGTGCCAACACCCTTCTCACCACTTCAGGGCCCTTTTCCATTTGAAGATGCTCACCCTCCTCGCTGCTGGTAGATGGCAGTGGAAAGCTCATCATCAAGCTCCACAGTCCAACTTTGTGCTGAGGGCAATGAAAGACATCCCCCAAAGGGTTATTTGTGGTTGCAGGTCTGTAAGGAGGATGGAGAGCATCCTCCAGCTCCCCTGCTTTGCTCTCATTCTGCTCCTGTCTGAAGGTAAATCTTCTGTATGTACAGCCTCCACTGCTGGGGTAATGCATTTCCTTTTCTTTTATTTTTGGCCCTGTTATTAAAAAAAGAAACACAACAAAACAGTGAAAGGGGAGAGGAAATTGCACATTCCCCTGGGTCATAAATACAGTCTGATGGGGGGTTTTGTTGTAACCTGTCTGAGGAGCAGGAGGGATGGGAGAATTCCTAAGCAAGGGAGGAAAGGTTCTGCTTACTGCAGCCTTGCTCCGTAGCTGGAAGGTGATGGGCAGGAGGGGTTTCTTACATTGTGCCAATCAGTTGGGAAAGGAGAATCTTGAGTTTTTTCCAGGTAATTCAGA